TAATTCAAAAGGACACCCCTAATTTAACTGTCACAGGACTTAAGGTGAGTAAATTCTGAGTCAGGGAAAGAATAAATGTAGGAAATGGCTTTTAATTTAAAAAAAGAAAAGATGCATGACAAAGAGCATATTTCTAGCTAGCTGATGCCCAGGGCAGCTGACTGAGGATTATTTGGGAACTGTCTGATGAATGACTTCTAGAAAAAATCATTGAACATCTGCAAGTAGAGAATCAGGAGGCAGTCAAAGCAGACTTGTCAAAAGAGTGAGGAAGAAGACAGCTCTACCTGCTGACTATACACTAGTGCTTTCTCTGCAAAATCCTCCAAGTTCCACCCCCTACCCCTCTCCCATGCAGATCTGATTCCATTTTCTCAGGGTGATCTCTTGAGAGAAAAAAAAATCAATACTGTGTCGGTCTCAAAACCCATCTATGATACGTTTTAAAGACTTATCATGGCTTTTATAAAAGCAGCAATAAACTTCTAGCAAAATGAGTCATTCTTAGTATTATGTAAACATTTTCTTAAACTGGCTGAGGATAATCCCTAAATTAGTCTTTTATTTCTGGGGATCCTATGTCAAATCTAAGATTCAGCTATCCAGGGCCAGCTTGCACAGACTACCATTTGCCACCATGCCCGTTTGAAAACAGGGGTCCCAGTGTGTCCTCTCTCCTCTCTTACTTGTGTAAGTTCCGTCAGTATGCTGTGATGGTTCATACCCCAAACCCCAAAGCTTAGCCAGAATTTTCTTATAGCATCTTTGAGGTTATTAGATCCAGAATAAGTGGAATAGTTTGACAATGGAAGAAAATGAAAATGATTATCAGTGGACAAGCCATGAGAAGAAAGAATGAAGATAGGAGGAGAATTGAGTGATGTCCTTATTTGAACACTTGGAATCACAACTGGGATCTTGGCATTTTCTCATATAACCAGATCCAAGTTAGTGAGGCATAATTTTCATTGTAATATAAAATATATTTAGTATACGCTTTCATATAGTTTGGTAACAGTATACCAGTCACTTCTTTCTAAACACGCTATTTCTGTCACCCTATAAAGCTTTTCCATTGGTCTTTACAATGATTCACCTGCTGTGTGATAGAACCCACTGTTGTTCTGTCTTCTCTCTCCCAGGCTGGGTTTGAGAGTATTTAACTAACTAACTAACTAACTAACTAATTAATTAATTAATTAATTCATACTATTTCTTCATAAATTACATCCTCACTTCAGTTTCTGCTTCTTCTCCCTCCCCCAGACTCTACTCCCCCAATCTCCCCTGTGCATTTCATAGACATCAGCCAAATAATGCATAACAACCTACAATAAGACCAGGCACATACCATCACTTCAAGGCTGGACTCTGGAACCCAGTAGGAAGAAAAGGGTCCCACAAGTAGGCAAAAGTCAGGGACTGTCCTCTCTCCCATTGTTAAGATTCCTATAAACGGATCAAGCTACTCAGCCATAACGTATACGCAGAGGATATGGAGCAGACCCCTCCAGGCTGCCTGATTTCTGTGAGCCCTCATGAGTATCAATAGTTGATTCTATGACCTGTGTTTTGGGGTGTCTCTGACCCCTCTGGTTCTTCATATCCTTCCTCCCCTCCTCCACAGGACTTCCTGAGCTCTGCCTAATGTTTGGCTATAGGACTCTGCTTCTGCTCCCACTTCTAGATGAAGTTTCTCTAGTCTCTTTGATGATGACTCTGCTAGGCTCTGGTCCCAGGACTCTCTGCAGGCAGGACAAACTATAGGTTGAAGATTTTGTGGCTGGGTTTGTGTCTCAATCACTCCACTTGAGGTCTTGCCTGGTTATGGAAGATTGCTGGTTCAAGATCACAGTCCCCCATTACTAGGAGTCTTTGCTAGGGTTATTTTCAGAGATTCCATGGAGTTTCCATTGCACTTGGTTTCCATCTCATCCCTGAGATGCCCCAAATTTCCAGTCATTTCTCCCAGTATTCCCCTCACTGACCCAATCCCTCCAGTTCCCAACCCCAACCATCCCCAGTCCACTTGCAAAATCTACTCTGTTTCCCCTTCCCAGGGGAGATGAGTCCTCTCTTCCACCCTTGAGCATTATTGAAAATCACATTTTGGGAGTGTGGGATGGCCAGTTGTAGGCATAAATTTTTTACAGCCTACTTTTAATAAGGTTCAACTTTTCCTCTAGCCCACCACCCAGCAGAGGTAGTAGAAAAGAAAAGTTATTAGGATGGGGGGAAGTGGACCTATTCAGCAATACTTCTTTGGAGGTGAGCTCAGTCTTATTTCTCAGCAGTTCAATCCTATAGCAAACACCAAATATGACTCAGCAGCTGCAGACCAGTCCTTTAGAACGCTAGATACCATTCATGAACCCGCAGCTGTAGTTCAATCCTGAAGGAACTGTCAGGCTCGCCAACTGGTCTGAGGTGAGGCTGCAGAAGCAGCACGCTGCCACAGGAACTTCACTAGCAGTTCTTGGGCAAGTTTCTCTCAATGGCAGTATTATCACAAGCTGAGGTCAACAACGGTATGCAAAGTGAACCAATAGAGATATGTTCTTCTCTTTAGTGAAGGGGAGCAAACCAAACCAATACTCAATGCGCGTCCCCCACTGGCTGTGGGGTCATATTTATACCCCTTTATCAAGCATCTTTTCACGTATTTGCTATATCAAGAAACCTTTTCACCTGTGTCTGTTTGTGGAATACAGTCTCTCACATGTTTGCTTTAGCAAGATATCCTTTCACCTGTGTGTTCCAAAACAACATTTGACATTAACTAACTTTCCAAAGAAACCCAGAAGTTTTTACTTCAACCAGTCCTTTGTGTCTCTCTCTTCATATCCCAAGTGTTTTGCAGCTCACACATGTTTCATATAGAAATTGTCATTGCTTTTTCCCACTGTGTTTTAATCTGTTTTATAAATATGTTGTAATTCATGATATTTCTGAGTTTGGACGATTGTAGACCAAAAAAAAAAAAACAGCAAATGTAGTTTAATATCTTTATATATGCTTTTCTTCTCTGTATGTTATACAGAAGGTAAATGCTTAAGAATACAGTACAGTTTTGTGAGGTAAGTGAATAGGTGGATAATATAGAAAATGCCACCTTCAAAATGGCTGGCCCAGTTTCCATTCCTACTGGCAGCACATACTTGTGATATTGCTAGTCATTGCTTTACTCTCAGGCATTCTGTCTAGAGTATGTCCACTCAAAGTTGGCTTGCTTGACTTTAGAGCTGTTGGACATTTATATCTGCTGATTGTGAGCCATTCATGAGGCTCACCTGTTGCAAACATTTTCTTTCCATATGCAACCTATTTCCTTCATGGTATCATCATCTGCTGTTAGGGAATACTTAACTCCGAGTCCCAATGATAGCAAATGCTATTCTTGCCCTCACTAGCTCCCCTTTCTTGATAGCCTACGTATTGGGTTATTGTATTTGTTGGTTTATAAAACTTCTGGCGATAGACTTTACAGAACTATCCTCAGCCAATGCGACCCATCTCATCTAGAAATAGCTGGAAGCTATCCATCTCTTCTAGAATGGCTTAGATAAATGACTAGCTGATATGAGGATACACAAGGCCTGTCCTTGACCTCTACATCAGACAATGCTGAGGTGTCCTCTGTGTCCCAGAGCCTGGATCCCAGCTCACCCCATTCCTTTGTTTAACTTCCAGTTCTGCTTTCTGCCTGCCTTACGTCCTTACAGACGAGTCTGACAGTCACTCAATAAATGTCTCACACAAGAGTGGCCCACTCTGTGTGTGCCTGAAGGAAACTCAATCTGGAGCTGCCATTTATCTGTCTCACTTTTAAGCATAGTTCCTTTTGTGTCCTGAGAAATCCTTGTGTGGCTTGGGTTATGAACATGCTCCTTTCTGCTGTCCATCAGGGCTTTACTGGCCTTCATCAGATGCAGGGCTCCGTTGTATTTCAAACTAGCTTTCATGTTTAGTGGAAGGAAAGGGTCAAGGTTTACTTTTATTTTTTTTGGTACGCTTTTTTTTTTTTGTCCATAAATCTGTTCATGTGTCCCTGAATTTACTTTCTAAATAAATTGTCTTGCCATTGTTATAATAATAAAAGTAATCAACCACTTATTTTTGCAACATTTATTATCATTTTATCTAGTTTGGCCAAGTTTTCTGTTTCTTGGAACTTAACAGTCCTGGCTAATTTAGGGTCTTTCTCTTTTCAAAATTTGGCTTTCCACTTAATTCTCCCAAATGTAGCCAACAAAATAGAGAACCTCAAATTAAAAATTAATTTCAGATTATATATCAAATTCTTCCTCCTAGTATAAATAAGTCCTATGTAGCATACTCCCTACTTGTTTATGATTGCTGGACTTCTGATCTTCTATGTCTCATTGCCTTCTTTCTGTCTGCCTTCTCTCTTCCTTTATGTCACCTGCACACTGAGGCTTTCTGAATCTCTGCTTTGCTGTCTGGGAGGCTGGAATGGACAATTCACAGCCTTATCACACTCTTCGACTTACTTGGTTGTCAGCTACGGGAGCTACTTGATTATTTTTTAAACACCATTCTACTTCTGAGGTGCAAATTCAATGTTATTGACCTGCCAGAACAGGCAGAAAGGTGTTAGGACTTCCTGACTCTCATCAGCAGTAGATTTGGGTCAATCAACTCCTATCCTCACACTTGACGTCTTGTGACTTGGCCTGAAGCTGTCACCTGTGACTAGGAGACAGGTCTAAACTGTCAGACTTGGGTGAAATGTAATCTGTGCTCTTGGCACCACTAGAACGGATGTGAGCATTTGCTGGGAACCCACCTTCACTAACCTGCACGTGGGCATTTAAACTAACACAGAGTGGCAGGATTGAAGAATTCTCTCCCAGGGACCATGAGTACATGGTAATGGATGTAGGCATACAAGGAAGAATTAGAAGACCCAAACCAATTCTACAAAACAGTTCTTACTGGAAGCCAGGGACTCAAAATGTACAGATGTTGTCTTTTTACAGAACCTTGCTGAGTCTCTTGCCTCGAATGAACTGAAAGTGGAACCCTAGAAAGAAGACAGCCCAGGGCTTATCATGGATTCTTGGTGAGAAAGGCAGTTTTCCTGCAAAGCCCTTGTGCTTGTTCCTTTGCATCTGTTGCTGTGAGTGCTGTCAGGGTTATGGTTGCCTCCAAAGCAGATGAGGAGTAAAAAAACATTGTTACCCTTTGGCTACTGCTGAAAACGAACCCCATTTCCCAGACTCTGCTGACTTGCAATCTCTTCTTTGATTCTGAACAAGTACTTCCTTTATAATCCAGGATTCTCTAGAAAAACAGAACTACTAGAATGAAAATATAGTACACATATATTTATATGTATGTATATGTGTATATATATGTAAACATATATATTAGTGTGTGTATATATGCATTTTGTATATATATGTATAAACACACACTGATTTATATACATATACATACACATACATGTGATTTATTAGTTAGAATGGCTTATAGGCTGTGGTCCAGTGAGTTCAATAATGGCTATCTCCTGATGGAAGTTTGAAAATCCAATAGTTGCTTTTTTCCTGAGGCTAGACTTCATGTCATGCCAGGTAGTCTTCAGTATATATTTGAATTCTGAGGAAGTATGCTCTAATTCCAGTGGAGGAATGCCTGAGCAGTAGGAGAGAGGAACATTCAGTTGCGTGAGAACCGTCATGCAAAACGCATAATCTTCCTTCTTCTGTGTCCTTTATTTAAATGACCTTTCCTCTTTCCTAAGTTTACTCTTCCTCTGTTTCCTCTTCAGAAAAGAGCAGGCCAACATGAGATGACAGCCAAATAGGACAAGACAAGATATAATATGACAAGGCAACCTAATGGGAGGAGAAGAGTTCCAAGAACAGGCAAAGGAGCCAGAGAAACACCTACTCCCACTGTTAGGAGTCCCACAAAACTACCAAGCTAAAACTTGGAGAAGACCTGCTGCCAACCATGCAGGCCCCATGCTTGCTTCTTAAGTCTCTGTGAGCCCATATGAGCCCAGCTTAATTGATTCTGTTGGGCATATTCTCTTGGTGTCCTTCATCCCTTTGACTCCTACAAAATATAAAATGTTATATAAACTTCTAGATTGTAAGAATGTCTTCAGATGTAAAATTTCTTGTGTCCAAATGACATTTGGCCATCTGTAAGCTATGCACCTTCAGCTCCTTTAAAACAGCAGCTCACTCTACTCTGTTTCAGATGGATTTCTGGAAAGCATATTTCAGAATACATTGTAATTAAACTTTTCTTCTGAATTGTCTTTTTCCCTCCACCAGAATTAGGGAATTATACTGTTTACTCTGTTCTGGCTAAAATTATTAGCCCACATATTAGTTACTTTCTGTTGCTGTAATAAAAATACCATGATCTAAGGCAATTTGTGAGAGGATTTTAATTTTGCTGACTGTTCCAGAGTAATAAGAATTATCAAGGGGTGAGTCATGACCACTTGTGGCAGGCATGAGGTCAGGCACAGGAAGCTGAGAACTCATGTCTTTAACCATAATCAGTAAGGAGAGACAGAGAGCAATCTGGAAAAGAGTGAGGCATTTTACTCTCAAAGGCTGCCACCATAATATGCTCTCTCTAGTAAGACTAAACATAAACTTCTCCAAACAATGCCATCAGCTGGGGAACAGTTGTTCAATCACCCGAAACTGTAAGGAACATTTCTCATTAGAACCACCACAGCTATGTACAGGAATTTCATGTATTGTATCTTACTGGTTTAGATTTTGGTTATGTGTTTTACTGTGATACCCTTAGCTTCACACACACACACACACACACAGAGAATCACAAATTATACAATCAATTTTAAATTATTTTGAATTGTTTTTTTTTTTGTACTTAGGAAACAAAGTACGAACATGCTGATTTATCATTCAAACTTCCACCTATGATAAATTTATATATTCATATATATTAATGGGAACTCTGTTCAACTTTAGAAAATATGTTTTCCACATATTGTGTTATTTTATCTTCCCTAGAATCTTATACTTTTCAGAAAAGATAAGTTAATATTGTAAAAGTGAGTGAGATTCAATTGGTGTTAAGAAATCAAGTATCAATTTTGGAACACATTCTGCCATATTAACGTTCTTTCTTTTTAACCTCTTCTTTATTCTCTGCTTCCTTTGCTTATATGTCATATGGATGGAATTACAAATTGAAGCATATACAGATATTTAATAACTCTATAGTATATAGTCTAGTTGGTAGGAGTGTATCATATATATGTATATACACATATGCATAGATCACTATTGAAGAGTATAAATGATATAGCAAGAGCTTTTTCAAGGTCTGATGTCTATGGGGGTAGTGTGGGAACATGAGAGTTTGTTTTTTTTTTTTCTGAGAAACTGTGTATAACGGCAAAGCAGAACATTCAGAAGAGAGAAAGGGACCATGGGGTGAGTAAAAAGGATATAATACAAATTTTATCATTAAGTGGAATAAGACCAAGATAGGTAGAGAAAAATCAAGAGGTCTCTGAGAGGAAAGGTTTTAGAAGCAAGGGATATTATGTGTATACCAGCAACATTAACGCTCTTATTGTCTCAGAGATAGTGGCTTGATAAAGCAGCGTGAATGTGGGCACAGAAACAGGCAAAGGTTGTAGAGAGTCTTATATTCCAATCTAACATTATCTATAAGAGCACAATTCTTCAAGAACTTCAGATAGTTTCAATGTCCCCAAATCCCTTCCCATGACTTGTAAAGTTAGGAACTCTTCCCAGGAAATCTAGCTAGCACATAGATTCTTCCTGAACTACAGATAAACATATTCAATTATCTGATAACCATTTATAGCTGGAAATCACAAATAAGACTCCTTAAAACACATGCTAATAATCTCTCTCTCTCTCTCTCTCTCTCTCTCTCTCTCTCTCTCTCTCTCTCTCTCTCTCTCAGGTTATGACTGGATTATTCAGTACACTCAACTACAGTTAATGGTGGAACAGTGGACAATTCATATGGTCATCTGACTCAGAAATCCAGACACTCTGGCACCACTTCTTCTTTCCCTCTTCTAGATAATTCCCCAAACAAGCTACTTTACTTCCCATGGAATTGACCCTTTCCATCCTGAATCACCACAATACCATTCAGCTGTGTTCTCTGTTCTCAGTCTTGCTCATTCCTTCAGCTTGTGCCCCCCCCCCATGTGTTTAAATAGTAACTCCAGTTAGATTCATTAACAAAGCTGGTGACATCTTTCCCCTGATTGTTCACTGGTTCTCCAAATCACTTCAAAGCACCAAATCCTCAGCCCTCTGTTTGAGGTGGCTTGACCTCTGTCTTCCTTGCTGGCTTCCTCACCTTTCATTTGCTCACTGTAGATGCTGGGCAAGGGCTCACTGTGAGACACAAAGAGGACTGACAACTAAGACACCTGGTTTTGCATGAAGTGTTTTTATTGAAGGTTAGGTAGCCTGAAAGGAGGTGAGAGTTATGCAACAAGGTCTTCCCATTGACTGACAATAAGACTTTCAAGCAGTCTAGGGTAAAGCAGGGCTAATAGGTTTAGTGATGTCATAGCATCTGAACCAGTGCAGCTGAAAATATTGTAGTTTTCTAGAACTTTGAGTGTATGTTGTAATCTTATTTTTGAACCCCTGATATCAGGCTTTGATCCTGCTCCTAAGATTCTGCATAGTAGAAATTTGGTTCTTTTCAACTCTCATTCTTATTTTGGCATTAGGTTTCAAGTCCCTGTATAAGATCCTACATCCTGAAAAATTTGGATGATAGAAATGAGGAAATTGCTCTATTGCTTGGTTCTTCAAGGACCGTATGTTGGTTAATTTTATGTTGACTTGATACAGGCTAAAGTCATCTGAGAAGAAGAAAGCCCAATTGATAAAATGCATCCATTAGATTTGGGTAGAGACAACCCTGTAGAGGATTTTCTTAATTAGTGATTGATGCTGAAGGACCCAGATTCACGTGGGTGGGGCCATCCCTGGGCTGACGGTCCCGGGTTCTGTAAGAAAGCAGGATGAACAAGCCGCAGGGAGCAAGCTAGTAAGTAGCACCCCTCCATGGCCTCTGCATCAGTTCTTGCTTTTAGGTTCCTGCCTTGTTTAAGTTCCTGTTCTGATTTACTTTGATGACAAACAACAATATGAAAATATAAGCCAAATAAACCTCATCCTCCTCAAGTTGCTTTAGTCATGGTGTTTCATCATAGCAGTAGTAACTCAAACTAAAACACTCTGCTTTTTCACTCAGTCTCATACCTCTGACATAGTGTGCTCTTACTCCCTGTCTGAATGTCCGAAGGATATCATCTTCATTTGGCCAGGCATGATTCATCTGTTGAGTTCCAGTCCCTGAGTTGTCCTCTTGGATTTCTGTCTCTTAAGATGGCAAAGTGATCATCTTCTCTGCTCAAAACTACCTCAGGAAATCATAGCAGGACATCTGCTTTCTCATTTTTTTTTTCTCAAGTTTTAAGCCTGGCTAGGATGGATTCCTTATTTCCATCCCAATGTCCAGAAGAATAGACATCTGCAAGATCATAGGATCAGTTATATTCTGCAGACCTATGAGTCTCAGATTGTTTCTAGGTGTTCCCGAGAACACCCTGCCCACACATGAGGAAATACTTTATTTTGAAAATTGAAATGTGAATGATTCAGGTAAACCCTTTATTTTCTTTGATTTCTCTGTCTCTCTGTCTCTGTCTGTCTGTTTCTCTATCTATCTATCTATCTATCTATCTATCTATCTATCTATCTCCCTGTAAGATTTTATTGCCTAAAAAGTTTACATCTCAAAGTGTGTTTTTGTAGGTGACTATGGTCTGTGTTTGAACTAGGAACCAAGAGTGATGAAGTTACTATAACAGGAATCCCTCAGAGGATGGAGAGTCTGGCATAGCAAAAGACAACAAGCTGATTGTTATAAATATAAATTAATATACGATTTTGAGTTCCAATCCACCAAATTTACCTCCTCAACCATTTTGTTAGGCTCTAACAGAGGACTTCTGAGGCCAGTGACTCTCTTGATCCTTATGACTTGGAGTACAAAGGCTTCCAAGGAGCCGCAAGCAGAGGATGCTACAAATTCAGTATTTCCCAATCCTACCATAAGAAGAAAATCACCTTTGAACATGTCCTAAAAATGTAACTCTTACCTTGACAAAAGCCTGAGCATCGCATCATCCAATAAAAATTTTCAAAAGCACAGGACAGACTTTGCAGAGAGAAATAAAAGCACCCGTGACATTTTACATTCTTCTGTACTGAAGCACGCAGGAGCTGAATGGGCTTCCCCAGAAGGGAAGCTCTCTTACACTTGTGTGCTCAAAAATAAACAAAAAAAATTCCCCATTGGATGATCATCTGAGAACGTCCCAGTCTATAGGAAATGTATACTCTGACTTTTAAATGTCGACTAGCCTTGGAAATCTATATGACATAAACTTTTGCCAAAAAAATCAATCTTGAGTTATGATTTGATTAGCAGAAAAAATTGCTATCACATTTATTTCTACATTTGTCTACCTCATGTCCTTTTCATTCATAGGCTGGCCGACTCAAACCTTCTTTAAAAACTCCCTGAGAAAGTCTGTGACATTAAAATGTCCTTTGATGCTCTTTTACTAAGCTCTGAATATTAACAGTTATGGTGACCCTGTTCCCTAATGCGTCTCTGCAGGATCAATAGCAGTTAAGTGCCACTGTTTTACAATTAAAAAGGGGATCATTTTAAATTTAAAAGCTCATAGCTAATTTTCTTCTTGGCACTTAATGGCATAATTCATTTCTGTAAAAACCTCATTGGAAGAACACAGACTTTCTTCTTCTTCTTCTTCTTCTTCTTCTTCTTCTTCTTCTTCTTCTT